TCAAACTTTATACCATGCTTGGCCTTTGTTTGAATATAAATAAATCATTTTCTTTACTGCACTGATTCATCATAGAATGTGAAGCTCAATACGTTCATCTCGGATAATTGGAAGGTGCATGGCTGAGTGCGGATTTAAGATAATTTATTGCATAATGGAGCGTAATTGCATAATGGATCGAAATATAATATCCATCAACGAAAAAGAAGAAAATTAAATAAATAATTCACTGAACTAACAATAGATCTTTGGTTTATGGAAGTAAAAATCTGTGTTGGAGTGATGAAATTCAATTTATTTATGCATTTGAAGAAAAACAAAGTTAAAAAACTGGTCGACCGAATAAGCAATAAGGAATTATTAAATTTGGAAATAACAGAAAACCCTCTTAAGGACATATGCTTCATTCAATAAAAGCCAAATTTGCTTCGAAGATATATTATTTGCAATCGCGATTCTATTCTAATTTATCTAAATTTCTAATTTTATTTAGTTTATAAATTTATTGACCCCAATAAAATGATCGAAAATCTGCAATATTTCATGATGAATTCATAAGTTTTATTAATTTAATGATTATGCAAAATTTTTGTAAAACAAATAACATCTAAAGTAAGTAAACGGTTACCATTTTTGGTTTTACTTGTATGATAAAATTCAACCCCACTTTCTCTCATATTCTACCTTCATTAATCCTATCATCACAGAGCGTCGCTTTCGCTGACTGAGGCACATTCTTCGTTGTCCACCACAGGAGTTGTCACATATTTCGTTACTTGTTTCGATTCGATGGATAGCGTGGAGAACCAATTAAGGCCTGGAATGATACAGTCAGGAGAAATTTTGAATTTAAGGGGACCAGCGATATATGGATTTAAACGATGGAAAAAGGAATGGCTTCCATGACAGCGATGATATCAGATCGAGCAGCTTGGAAACACCTGGTTGCCAATGGATCCAAGAATGGAGAGAGCTAATGGAAGAAGAGGAGATTTGTTACAATAAGAAATTTTTGCCAAGGAGTCACATGATAGAAATGACTATAGAGCTATATCGCCAGCCCCACTTAGATTTTTTAAAGAAGCGATTTTAAAGAGCTCTCGTTGATAACAGGATCTTAAATTTGATAAATTTATTGAGCCAAATAATATATTCCAAAACTGCACCATATTGAAAATATGTCGGTTTATTTGTTGTAATTTTTTCTAAAAAGGAGCACATACCATCTCTGGTTTGACTGGCTCCACTAATAGTTAAAGTGTGGAGCTTTCGCCATAAAATCATTTAGAAATAGAAGTACAGCTCAATCCGAAATTGATCAGAAGCGAAACAGGTATCAATACATCATAAATTTTATTTTACTGCACATCACAAATTTTATCGAACTTCGGCAACATTCATCAAGTCGTTTTATTTTAGGTGAAGATGCGTTTGAAGAATGGTTTCGTACGAATCTCTTCAAGTTATCAGTCGAGTTCGATACTCCATCGTTTGTGAAATGAGTCTATAACAGCCTATCAATAAATCAATAAATCTTTAATCAAGATAAACCAATCTTTATTTCCGTTGTAACAAAATCTCATCCTGAGCAAATTCTGAAGAACAAAAAGGATAGGGATAAATTCGCCGCCGTTAAATTCAAATTTTTAATATTGCTCAATTATACTTTAATATTTCCATCGATATTTTGGTTATACCTTTCTTAAATCATTTTCTAAATGTTGTTCTACGCATAGCAAGAAATAGAAAGCAAAGCAAAGAGATATTGTACGTTTGTACACTGTTTTGACAGTGCACCATTGAATTCTAATCTAGTTTCACAAAGGTTTTAACAGCGAATGTTGCCGAGCCTTTTCCTCAACTTCACAAAAATTTCAGAGTGAGAATGACTATTCTGAACACTCTATGTTATGATTTTAAAATTAAAACTTTTAAATTAAGAAAGATTTGTTAAATGTCTCAAAATGTATTTCGTAGCTAACCACGTCGAACATCTCATAATCTCTTTTTGATCAATCTGCACATCAATATCGTCCATTCGACCATTTTCTTTATAAAACCATTGGATAGGCAAAATATGGTGCATTGGCCAAAAAAATTTGCATTTAATACATTTATTATGTGATTTAATAAATTAAATTAAAATGAAGTAGGTGCAATTTAAAAATATATGGTAGAGTTAATTAATTTTGAAAATTACGAATTAAAAAACTATGAAAAAAAAGGCATAATTTCAAATCATCGCAAATCTTTTCACATATCATCTTAATACCTCAAAGCCACGATCTATCGTCTTTAACCAATATAATTATAATAACTCATTTATTTGTTTAATAAAATAAAAACAAAAAATTAATAAAATTTTTGCTTACATTTTCTACGCCATACTTTTTAAGCTAGAAATATTTTATTGAAATATATATAAATATTCAACATCGACCTTGCGGCTACCTTTGATCCAATTGATTGAGTGGCGCTTTGGAGGATGATGGAACGCGACTGTGTATCAGAGAAGATCACTCGAATCATAAAGGCATTATTCGGGGGCAGGTTTATGTATATGGGAAGCTGACAGACTCCTTCGAAATAAAAACTGGTGTCCGTTAGGGTTACGTTCTTTCCCCTACAATATTCAATTGATGCGATAGACTGGATAATGTACACCGCTTTTCGGCACTCAAGAGGTGTCTAATTCAGTCCAGAACATCGTATCACAGATCTTGAATACGCTGATGAAATAGTCCTTTTCGCTGATAATTATGATGAAATGCAAATAATGCTAAGTAACATGTCAACAACTGCAGCGAGAATCAGATTCAGGATCAATACAAATAAAACGAAAATCTTTTCCTCTTATGTGCAAGAAGCTGACAAAATGCCTCTTTTTGTAAATTCACTTCCGGTTGAGGAAGCGTCCGATTCTAAATACCTTAGATGGAGTCGTCATGAAATCACCATGAAAACGAAAGTCCGCATCTATATAGCCGTAATCCGTTCGATCTTGCTATATGATTCTGAGACATGGCCAATGAGAGTGGAGGATATTAAGAAATTATCTGCTTTTGACCACTCTCGTGGTACATATTATTGATCCATTCAACGGATAAAATATCACATATCCACTTTCGTTCAAATACCACTTGCATAAATGTTATCACGGAGCGTTGCCTTCGCTAGTTAGGGCACATTCTCCGTCGCCCACCACAACAGTTGTCGCATATTTCGCTACTTGCCGAACTTTATGATGGGTGACGTCAAAAGCGAGGTGGGCAAATCAAGACCTGTACTGGTACGATCAGAAAAGATTTAAAAGATATAGGTGGATAGCAATATATGGACTTAGACGATGGAAAAAGAAATGGCTTCTATTACTGTCGACGATGGTATCAGACCGCGATGTTTGAAAGCGTCTTACCCTTGTAGCCGTTCGAGCTAGCCTAACCAATAATGGTGAGAACTGTTAAAAGAATTTATTTAATAAAATTATAAATAAATTATAAATAAATTGTCAAAAAAAAAAATTTACCAACGCCAGACTTTTTAAGCAACAAATATTTTGTAAAAGTATTAACTCCAAATGCTTAGAGAAATTTATAAATAACAATTATTTATTTTTAAATTATTTTCTAGCAAAATATATTTTTTCACTATGCTTACTTTTTAGATACCAAAATAATTTTAAGCTTACTATATGCCAAAGTTACTTTTGGATGATACCCAGGAAAATTTTCATGATTTTACAAATTATTAAAAAATTTGTTGCAATAAATTTTATTTATTTATTTAATTTTTTTAAATATTTCATATTTCAAATGTCATAACAAAATAACAAAATATAACCCGTAATGAAAGATAGAATAAAAAATTACGCTTTTAACAGTTTTAATCCAAATAATTAAACATTAAGAAGGATAACTTCGCTTCAATTTTCGTAGATTAATAGGAAACAACCAAAAATAGCTAAGAAAAATTGATGAAAAGAAAAATGAATGATAAAGTATGAATTTGTTACACCGTTATACAATAGATATCAAAAATTTCGAAATTATATCTAATTAGTTGCTTGCATTTATGGTGAAAATTTCTAAATTAATCCCATTTATCGAAGGAGGATGATAATTAATTTCTTTCTCACTCATACCGTGAAACGTAGAAGTTATGCGACAGAAATTGTCCGATAACAATGAAATATTGCATAAAAAAATTTAACGGATCGAAGAAATTCGCAATTTTGCAAATTTACTGCAATTTGATTAATAAAAAATACAAAAGTGTTCAATAAAAAAACAAATGATCAAAGTAAAAAAAAGGTGATACAAAGTGCATGCAGAGTGACAAAATGAATATCAACAAAAACACTGCTGGCTGTCGAACACCGATCGAAAATGCTTCATTCTACGAATAATTTACTGATATGAATTGAATAAATTCAGGGAATTAACAAAAGGATTTAAACAAATGTACACTGACTGAGATTAACGGAAAGCATATAAGCAGAAATTTATTAGTGAAAGCGAGAAATAAATTCTCTATTCATTTTAATTATTAAATTATGTCGTATGTTGAAGAATAGTGCCCGATAAATTCACAAATCATCGAACAACATAGAAATTGCAAAGTGCTTCATAAATATAGACATATACATCGTGCTCAAATGCGATCGAGTAAGGAGGCAATGCCAGCTAAACAAAACCAAGACTTCTGAAAAAATTTTTTTTACTTCTTTTGTGAGAATGGATATTTTGAATGCTATTCCCCAGTTGATTATCTCACTTTTGCTTGTTTTAAGTTTTATGAAAAATGCTCAGATGAAGATTATGCTGAGTTACTTTTTTTGCATGGCATGCAAAAACGATCTTAGAAAAAGAAAATTCACTCTCACTCTCTCTCTCTCAATGGAAATAAATTAATGGATATTTTGAATGGAAGCATAAAATAAACAATAAATTTTAAAAAATTTTTCCACATCAAGAAGATTCCATTAGAATAAATAAGGTAGATCAGAGGTACCTCCTTTGTAATTTTTGAGCTAAAAAAGACTGCTGTTGTTGTTCGACAGCATTGTGGAATTCACCGCAATTAAACTGTGGGGATGGATATTTCGAGTGTTCTTTCTGCAGCTGATTAGTTTTATTTATTTCACTATGGCTTATCGGCAACGAGGTTTGAATTAAATATGCCTTTAAAGTGGACGCATCATGCAAATTAGCTGGATCCTCGATTGCACGAGTCCTACGAACAGGTGTAGGGCGAGGTTGATGTTGAAGTCTGAAAAAAATTTTTTAGATTTTATTTGATAATTACTTTTCCAAAAATTAACCAAAATCTTACGATCGTTGTTTTTCAACGCACGGGTAGCATACTTGTGCGGCCAAATGGTGCTCATTTATTTCGTGTGCGGCTAGTAATGGATATCGAGAATTGTTTGCACCAGACTGATCATATTGCGAAGAGTTAGGTGAAAGTGGTGCGCGAGGTGGCGGATGATTGGGCGGTGGTGGTCTAATAGATGATGATGCCCGATTTGAGTGGAATGATTTGATCGTATTTGTTGTAAAATCATTCGACCTTTTTTCGCTTTCCTGATTTCGATAAAGAAAATATATAGCATATACTATCATCGAAAACATTATAATAACAATGGGCAAACCAATATAAAAGTAAAAACTCGATATCCGATTATACTCTGAAATAAATTACTTATTTTGAGTGGAAAATCACGTGGTAAAATAAATAATATATAGACAGAGGAAGAATATCCCAGCATCTGAAAAAAATAAGACAGCATAAAACTTTTTACATTAGCTAAAAATTATTTGGCTAATCTACATACATTATATAGCCAAACTTATAGTTGCGCCAATCTTTTCTCATTTCGACATTGAGAGGCATAAATGGATTGCAATAAGGCTTCGGAGAGTAAATCTTTACTCTAAAATTCTAAAGAATACTCTAAATTAACTAAAGAATACTCTAAAATTTACTAGAAATAACTTCAAGATGTGCAGCTCGATAGACAATATCGCCATCAGCATTTGTCACAACACATATATATGTGCCTTCATTTTCAAATTTTACGTTTGGTATGACTAAACGATTTACATATATCCCATCTGTCAAATCTGCTCGCGTCTTTGGCTGATCAAGTAGAAGTAAATCCATATCATTTGCATGAATCAATGTTGCATTTTCATCATTTTTTCGAATAAGTTCTGGATTATTAACTCGTTTCAACCACTAAAATTTTCGTCGTTAAATCAACTGCGAAAATTGCTGGTAAATACAAAAATAAAAATTTCATTTTTTGAAAATAAAGGTGGATTAAGAAATAACTAAACTAATTTCACAGAAAAAAAGCGAATAAGAGGAAGAATTAGAAGAATTCCCGACAGGACAAAACTCCTTGTGCTGATGATCCCATGACATTTCTTGCCCAACTAGAGATGGTAAACGCTAATTACTTGTGTCATTAGAGTTTCTAAGAAAATTTTTTCTTTAATGTGGAGTTTTTATTGCTTATTATTATTAATGGAATGTGCCGCCTTAATCAATTTGACATAACTGACCTTTATTAAGGGTTGATGCTGGCTTTTGACCCTACATTGGAATTGTGCTGTATGACCAACTTTGACAGTACTATTGAAAGGTTCATCAATCATTGGTGATTGATTGAATTCATTACCATTAGAGGGCCATCGCATATTTTCATCTGCATTTAAAAAATCACCAATATATACTCGAAATGTTGCTTCAATTAAACCATGACTATTTTCTAATCTGCATACATATTTTCCAGAATCTCTTTGTTGGACGTTTGATAAAACCAAATTTGCCGATAAGTGCTGGAATGTGAATTCTTCTGGAAAAATAAGAAACAATTATGTATAAAAATTTGCCTATATTTTTTGTTCATTAAAAAATTTGAATTTACAAAAAATAATTTGCATACTTACGATATAAAAATGAAGAATTTTTTTTTGAAAAAACAAATTTAAGCCGTGATTCATTAGAGATGTTTCAGTATGAACTGCAAAGATGTTTTGAAATCAAATATGATTTCAAATATGATCATGAACTAAAAGAACTATGTAAACTAAAAAATAGGATTTCATCGTCAAACAATCACTGGTTAATAAGAAATTATTTCAAGGAGTTGTCCATTATTCTAATCAGAGTTAAAGCCAAAGTTTATAATTTAAATTTTATTCGAAAAAAACCTCTTTTAATCGGTTTTTCATTGCGAAGCCATGTGATATGAGGCAGAGGATTTCCTTTTGCTGGACATTTCAATTGGAGTCTCCCACCTACTGATAGTCTAAGTGGAACCAACATTGAGCTCCGCATTTCCGTTTCGTTTAACCAAGCTGGAGGCGATGCTGAATCACAAATTTGGCTCACAAATTCGTTATAGGCTGATTTAAATATCGTGTATTGTGGTCTATATCTTATAAAACATACAATTCGAAAAGTAGCTACTTAATTGAACAAAATATCTCTCTTTACTTTAGAGCCTTAATTACATAATCATCTTTTAATATTCCATTGTTTATCCTCGTCCAACTTTTATTGATAATATCACAACAGATCATGGTTTAATAATCGAATGTTAATTATGACTTATACAACAAACTGATGAAAAGTTCTCTAAATTTTTAAGCCATTTTTATGTTTAGAACCTTTAAAATAAAACTGGTCATTCCTTCATCTTACATCATTTAGAAAAAATTTTTTGCTTAGAACTGACTAAATTTAATAATAAAATTAAAAATTCTTGGCTTACAATTAAAACGATTAAATATTTTTTGCTGCTTTCTTTAAATTCAGCAAATTATAAGTCTAATTATAAGTTAATTATAAATCTAATTTATGCAAATTAGATTCTCGATTCTCTTTTCTTTTCTAAGAGCACTCTAAGATCATTCATAGAGCACTCATTCTTTTCTAAGATCATAGTCGATTAGACTCGCTCAGCTGACTTATTGGACTCGAAAAATATATCAGAGGACGCTGGAAATAGAAATGCAAGAGCCGCTTGGACTTTTGAACAAGTTCACTCCTGTCGGAAGTAAAAATTCAGCATCACTGGTGAGCAACAACCCACTAGCCATTCTACTCTCCTTGCTTTCTCCGTTACGCTACACTGCAGCTAGACGAAGCATGGTGCGCCAGCCGAAATCATCGAAAACATCGGTGGTAGTTATTCTGACACTGGTCATAGAGATAAGGAGAAAAAAAGAAGCAACAAATATATCTTTGCTTTGCAAAATTTGACTTCTTGGTTCCTTGATTTGACCGTACTTAATATCATGAATATCATCTAAATTTAAATCACAATCTTACTAGACGTCAGCTTACCATGTAAGCTTATTTGCAAAATAAAACTTCCTTATTTATTGACTACTGGCTCAAGTAAATTATGCAGCAAAGTACTTTTAGCTTTTGCGTTCATTTTGATTTTAAAAGCAAAAAAAAGAATTATTTATAATTAGCTAGAAAATCCAACCTTTTTCAGATAGAATTACTGTATCTTCTGTACCTATGCTTTGCTCATTTGTCGGATCGTATACATTTACGTCAAATTCCAGTTCTAAGTGACCAAAACCATTCACAGCTTGACACTGATATATTCCACTATCCGAAGCTTGAGGATTGCGAATTTTTAATTCGCGGTCGGATCGCACTAGCTTATATCGACTATTAAAATCGAAACCAATCTGAAACCAGAAACCAGATAACATCAGAAACTAGACCACAATTTTTTTCATTTAATTTCATTGACCAGTAACACCATTCATTCGAAAATCCTTAACATAAATATTTCATTACTAAGTTGCCTCTAATTTTTGGGCTAATGAAGTTATCTCTCTCTCTCTCTATATATATATATATATATATATATATATATATATATATATTCAATATGGCTATATTGGCTATATTGAAAATTTCCATCATTTGAATTAATAAGGGTGTTTAAGAATATTTTAAAGGTTATTGAACCAATATAAATGAAAACTAAAAATTTATAAGGCGAGAATTTAGTGAAATGTATAAGAGAAACAGGTGTGTGACGACAAATGCAAGTTGAATGCATTCGACTTGGATCAAAACATCTTACCATTCAATTATTAATGATTAATCGCCAATAAGTATATATTGATATTACTCTCCTATTAGTTTCCAGCAAATTTAATTTTTGCTCTATTTAATTAATTAAACTCGACTTAAAATTTTGAAAAACTAAGCAAAAGACTAATTGTTAAAAATTTTGACTTGTAAAGTTTGTAAAAATGTTGTATCATGAAACCGATCGAATATACCAAACATTATGTGGAGGATGGTATATTGCTTCGCGTAATGTTAAGTCATTATAAGTTCGTTTCTTGGTTCTTGGCGAGAATAAATTTGCCATTAAAAATAATCGTGATACTCAGAGACTCATTTATAAATAAGAGATCTCATTATAACAGCTAATATAGCTTTAAAAAATCATTCAGTCATGCAAATCTATCTAATAAAACTAAAATTAAAATTAATTTTAATTCAAAGAAAAATTTTCTAAATAAAAAAAATTATTTATCATATTAATCATCATCTAATTTATGATAAAATACTGAAGATCTTTTGAAAGAATGCAAAAAATTGAGAAAAATATTTGAATATACTTAATTATTTGCTAAAAAATTATCCAATATTGTTGCATTTCTTTTATCAGTCATTTCGTGCTGGTTCTATTGACTGCTAAGGTGAGATTTTTTTGCCAAAGAATGATCTGGAAATAAAAATGCATGCCCAGTACGATCGGATTTCACTTGTAATGTTTACTATCGTCAACGGATGCGAATTGAACCGATGATGGCTTGACCTTAGCGCAGGGAACATACCGCTTCCTTCTCTTATTCTGATCATCCTTCTCTCATTCAATATTATTAACTAAATTAAATAATTCCTTGCATCAGTAAACAGTTCACAAGATTTTTGTAAACAATTCAAATAACAATTAAGATTTTCAAAGTCAAGTATAGTTCTTCATTGAATTTAGAATGGTGAAATCTATACTTCATAACAACATGAATTTTTTCTGGAGCCCTAAAGCATAAAAAAGAAAAAATAAAGAATTTTTCTTCTTTTTAAAGTAATATATTAATTCCCTTAAATTTCTTAATTAATTAAAATCTAATTAGAAACTTATATATGATTGTTATTTAAATTTCGTTTTATTCAAATATGCACGAAAATTTTGAGAGTATTATATTCTTCTTTTAATAGCTTTTCACAATTACTAGTTAGGCTGGCTCCAACGGCTACAAGAGTAAGACGCTTTCAAACAGAGCGGTCTGATGCCATCGTCGACAGTAATGGAAGCCATTCCTTTTTCCATCGTCTAAGTCCATATATTGCTGGTCCACCTATACGTTCAAATTCTTTCCTGACCGTATCAGTCCAGGTCTTCATTAGCCCACGTCGTTTTTGACGCCAATCATCACAGATAAGTAATGAAATATGCAACAACTCTTGTGGTGGACAACGGAGAACGTGCCCTAACCACCGAAGTCGACGCTCTGTGATAACATTATTAATACAGATAGTATTTGAGTGAAGATGAATACAATCATGTGCGATTTTATTCGCTTGACGGTTCCGTAAAATATATTTTATTATTATAAATATATCTTAATATACGAATGGTCAAAGGCTGATAATATCTTCCACTCTCACTGGTCATATTTCGCAGCCACATAGCGAGATCGAGCAAATTATAGCTATATGGAAGCGGATCTCTATGGTGATTTCGCGACGGTCCCATAAAGAAAAAAAATTTCTAGTTGTCGTTATCCATGTTGAATATTGTATCATTACTAAATCAATATTCTTTGTTTTCGCAGAATTACAATTCCACTTATAAATTAACGTTTTATGACTGAAAATTCTTTTCTCAAAAAGTCAATAGTTCATAAAACTTCAAAACAATAAAATTTCAATTTTAAGATGTCGACACTGGTTCTAAAAATTGAATAAATTTGCTTACTTGTTCATCATCCTTTTTCCATTGTATCATCACTAAATCACTATCGCTTATTTTCACTGGACAAACAAGCTTGAACTGTTTTATCCCTACTGGTACCCAAAATTTCGTTTGTATTGGTTCTAACAATTCTGGTGGAGCTGAAAAAAATAATTATAGAAAAACTCTACTATTTCGAGAAGGAAATAATTCATGAATTTGCCTAAATAAATCGTTAATCATCATTTCCATTACAATTTTTTTTGACAACTTGAAAATAATGAATAATACTAATAAGTGAATAATACTAAACAGTTAACAGCAAAAACTACCGTTTAAAGATGAAACTATTAATTAAAAAATGCAAATATTTTAGTAGTTTTATCGATGAAAAATAATTTTAAAAAAATCAAGATAATGATTGAAATAAGAGAGAGATATTTATAATTAGTTAGTATAATTAGCATTAAAAAATTAAAATGATGAACTTAAAGAAGAGCTTAGAAAATATTACTTAAAAAAATATGGATTAAGGTCGAAGAGAAATTAAAGTCGGTCGTCGATGGTTGATTTTGGAATAAAACATTTTACGATACATTTCAGCGAAAGATTAGCGAATTTTTTAAGTCTGGTCTTTTTTTATCTTTTTGAAAAAGCTTACACTTTCGTTACTTGACGTCTTTATAAACAATTATAAAGGAGGCAAAGGCGGCAAGTAATTTCAAATGAAATATTTATCGAGGTGCGTCTTATCTAAAAAGTCTGCATGCAAATTTTCGATCTTGAAAGTTAAAGAAAACTAAGAATGCTGTTACTCATGATAATAATTGAATCAGACTACTACTAATAGGAAATTACACGATGTGAGATTAGATTTTAAAAATAAAATAACCGGCATTAAAAATTTTGGAAACCACTGCTCTTAAACATTGTGAATTATGATTACCATAATCTATGAATTCATTTTGCCGGCAAGAAAGCTTATTGAATAGCTTCTCTACCTACGCTGTAAATTGTTTTTGTGGCGAACAATGACGAATTATGAAAAATAGAGCATTCATTTACATCGGATGAAAACGAATAAAGGAAGGAAACGAAATGAAAAAACCTTAGTAGACCTTAAAAAAACGAAGAAATGTCTGGTAGAACTGGAATAGAATCCTGCATAACTGATCCCTACCGAATAGTCAGCAAATAAAATCAAAAAAAAAAATTCAACTCTATAACCTAGATCCCCTCTTAGTTCGATGAAAAGAATTAAACAAGATTTAATTTATGCATAAAAATTTTGCATGATTATACCAAATTTAGGTTCAACAAGATCCAATGGGCAATTATTAATTTTCATTCGCATCATTAATTACCGGAATAAGCTGCCGAACGTCACATTGTAAACAGTGTGTACATTATCTTTAGCCATTTTTAAAAAGGATTAAGAAAACTAAAACCACCTATATTATTATTTAAAAGCTTCATATTGCGCAGAAAGTTTGAAATCTTGGTGTTTCAGCACGCGATTATACACTATCAATAAAATTAAGTGCACTTTATATAGATATTACTAATTTCCTTTCATTTGGGACATCATTTGAAATAAATGGCGATTTTCTATCTGTTTGGTTGTTTTAAAATGATTAGGTAAAATCAAGCAAGTACTGCTCGTAGCTATTGAAATGAGGAATCGTGATCCAAAAAAACTCTAAGAAGGAACCATGTTCCTTAAGGATAGACCTTGCGTTTTTTTGCCACTTGACAAACGGTTCAGATGAGCTGGACTACTTCATTTGCCCTATTTTTAGATATTGTAATTCAGCCTTTACAGAATTTTCATCCAATCATAAACTTTAGTTCTTTAGATAATATTTAAAAAATCTTGTGCCCACTTTCCGGAGATACGAAAAAAATTTTTGCACAAAAATTTTGCAATAAACCGACGTTGAATGAAAGATGTATCGTATGATATGCTATTTTTGATTCACCTGGAACGATCAGCACGACGAACTTTTTTGAACTTTTTTAAAACAGCACTGGATAAAATATTTCTTTCATCCATCTATCTTACGAAATTATCCATAAACTATTCCATAAAATAATTAATTTGAGAAAAGGAAAAAAGTTAAATTACGAAATTTATTAAGCAGTTCAGATCTTTTCATCGATCTGATTTTTAAAAATTTTTTTTGATAAAATTCCTCTTTTTAAGAACAACTATCGTGTTTAAGTGATTTAAACAAGAATTTATGGAAATTTCTGGATGAAAATTAAAATCTTATTTGAAGACAGCCATTTAATAATTTAAAGTAAATGTTATATATATTGCACGAAAGAAAATTGGAAAACATTTGTGTGAAATTTTTCTTATAAGTGTCTAGAACAACTATTATAGATATGCGGATATTTAGAGATATCTAAAACAATAAGAGATGATCGCTACTGTTATTTGGAGCGAAGTCTGGACAGCTACTAGGATTCGCATATTCCGTTTATAAGTGAGTCTCTGACAAACGGATTGGCATTTTTCTTCTTTCATTTTTGAAAATAAAGGAAACAAATTAGATCGTAAAATCGTAAAATTGTTTCAGTGTTTATTTCGTTTTTTTTTTTTTTCTAAGAATTTGCTTAGGCTCGCTGATGAGATAAATTTTCAAGAATCCTTAGCGATAGAAGCATAAGCAGGTCACCAGCACAACTCGGATTTTTGGTTTATCTTTGCGAGATTAGAATCCAGCATCAACGCTCCGAACTAAAAGCTAACAGCAACGAACCTTTCATCCCACTCCATCCCACTCACTCACTCCATCCAAAGAAATATTTTAAATTCTGATAAGTACATAATTTTACTTGTTTTTCTGTAAAAAATCCTCCTCTTCTCTTTTATAATTTTGAAAATATGTTGTCCTATTTTTTTAATTTTTTCCAAAAAGCTTTTTAAAAATTAAATTAGGCTTGAGATAAAGAACATAGTGAAAACATAAATGCATAAATGCAACGCAGGAAATTGGATGCTTTCTTCTTCTCTAATGTTTCAAAAACGTTACCCCTTCATTTGTGACCTTCATTTCTTTTACAGTATTTTAATAGAAAATACTTCGAGCAAGAACATTTTTCTATCGAAATGAGAAACATTCATTAAAGTGCTAAGAAAAAAAAAATTATAGGATTATAGGCACGAAAGGAAAGAGAAACAAAGAAAATTACCCTTGTCACAGAGAATAAAGGATGTGCCAATCTAATACATATTTTAAAATATTCGCTTGGACGTTATCACACCGTCCATCTCATTTTTTTCTTTGCTCGTCATTCGTTTCATCTTTGACTTTGCATTATTTTTATAAAATAATGGAAGAAAATATTGCACGAAAGAAAACTGGAAAAATTTGTGTAAAATTTTTCTTATAAGTGACTAAAAAAACTATTATAGATATGTGGATATTTAGAGATGTCTAAAATAAGCATGTCTAAAATAAAAAAAACAATAAGCAGAGATGATCGCCACTGTTATTTGGAGCGAAATCTGGACAGCTACTAGGATTTGCCTGTTCCGTTTATAAGTGACTCTCTGGCAATAATCTCATTTTAAGAACAAATGAAGTCAGCTAATCAGAAATGATTTTTTATTAGACGAAACATTTATTAAAAGTGCAAGAACAAGAAGAGATGAAATGAATTTTCTACTTGCTCGGCCTAGTAATGTAGTGGCCAAAAAAGTTAAACAAAGTTGGCATCTAAGTAGAAAATACAGGCACTTAAGTAGATACTGCCTTAATTTAAAAAATTTGAAGAATTCTCATTCATCGGCAATATATTATATTTTAAAATATAACATAAATTTCTTCGAATAAATTTCTTTATTCATCTTCTGCTTTGAATAATTCAGAAAAACATATAAAAGAATGCCGAGTATAAACTTAAATTTTCATAAAAAAAGAATGTTCTTAAAAAATTGATAAATCCAATTATAATTATAGTGGAAATTTTCAAAATTTAAAAATTAAATCTGTTCTTAATAATTTCTTGAATCTTTTTAATACGATTCAACATTTAATTTGTGGTGTTCGATTATGATATAAGTAAGATTTTAAACCGTTTTATGCAATTATCTCAAAAATCTCAAAACAACAACATTGAATTTGATCAGCCAACAACTTAGCACCAATTGTTAGTTATTTTAAATTTTAAAAAATCTTTAAAATGGAGATACACATCGAGAGGAGAAATGGAATAAACCTAAAAACAGCACGCTTTTCCTGACAATTAACATTGGGTGAGTATATATATATATATATATATATATATATTATATATATATATATATATATATATATATACATATATATATACATCAATTTTCATTGTCTATTATCATTGCCGATTTATCAATTTTAGAAAATTGAATTCTTAATTTTAAACAATATATGAAAAGATCTTATTTTTTATTTTTACAACAATATTCTGTTGTTTAAGATGCTTGCACCACAAAAAATAAGATAAAATTAAGAAAACGAAGTAATCAACCAGGGAATCATACAAGGATTATCCACTTCTTTGTAATTTCTCAACTGCATCAATGTTTATTTGCTGAAGACCTAAAACAGCCTTAAATAATCTAAAGCGCGTAAAAATATTAGAGGGCAATAAGCCTAAACATCACTCTTTTAAAAATTCATCGATCTTTTAATATCTTTGATATGGGAAGACACTTTAAAAATGATATGTGATAAGTCAGAATCTAAAAAAAATAGAAGAAAATAAAATAAAATTAATTTTTTCTGAAAACTATTTTAGATACTACATAGAAAGAACGAGAAAAATAGCTTAAAAATGCAATAGTCATTTACGAATTTTAAAACATTGAATATTCGAAAAAAATAAATCCTCATGAGTCATAAAACGAAAATGATATATTTATAATGACAAATCTTCAAAAAACTTCGACAATTATGGTAGAAATATGGAAATTTTGAAATTTCCTAAAAATTCACCTAGTCGAAATTTTTAGAAATGATTATTGGAAATATTATAGTATGCTGGTCAAATTGTGGTCAAATTAGTAAACGATTAGACGTCAGCAGTTATAATTTAACTCGGCTGGTTGAAAATTTTCCAGAGAATAATTTAGCAATAGAGGAACAGAGCTCAGAATCACAAGGATTTTTTTATAGGCTACCCAAAACTAGGGGCTATCAGGGGAAAGGCCCAGATTCTCACTTCTCAACATAATAATCAGAGCCAATACCCATTCGACCATCCATGCTCTTTTCATTTTCATGGGTGCACTAAATAAATATCGTCGGATGATAAAGATAATCGAAAGAAAAGGTTTCATAAAGGTTTTTGTGATAAAATGGTTTACTTTAAAACAGTGAATAGAAATAAAAGTGCAAAAGATGAAAAATCCTATGAAATTCATGCCATTTTTGTTGCAATAGAAATCCACTGCAGTAGAACAGAAAAGAGCGATTATGACTATAATTAGCTTATATCATTGTATTGAAAATCAATCTTTCGTGCCCCCTATAGGAGCACGAAAAATGATGGCAACCAACTTGAAAAACATATAAAGCCAAACTGTCCTGGCAAAAAATTTTAATCGTACCACCAGCTAGCGGAACTAACAAGAAAAGATGAGCGCTAATCACTTGCTTTTTTTGTTAAATAAATAATCTCATAAAAATGCATACAGAATAAATAAATATTATATTTGAATAATATCTGAATTTGAATCCAGAATAATTTTTTATTGTGCTAATATTTAAAATTATTCCTTCACATTCTTTTTCTCTTTGTTGTTCATCACTTCTTTGGTTTTGGTTTGGTTGATTCTATTGTCCTTTAGAAATCTCGCCAGAGAATTATTCATAGAAACAAAAAAGGAACCACTGGCACCATGCGCACTTCACTTTTAATATGTCCCTATCTACGAACAAAAA